GTTAGCTCTGATTCTACGCAAGTGAGCCTTTTTGGCTAAACTGGATTCTCCACCTCGACGAACCCTTCAGATATTACTCTAATTTCCCCTAGGGGTTGCTAGTGCTGCACAGGGGCCTATTGCTAAGGTGGCGGAGGTGGAGGAGCTCAGTTCTGATTATCTTAAGCTACGTAGCGACGCAACTGCCCTCACTGGATCAGGAACTCAATTTCTTTTTTCAATTGGATGCAATCATCAGTGTGGTGACCATGATCCCAGTGATACTCGCAATATTTTGTGGGATCCCTTTTTGCTGGGTCTGATTTCATCCGGGGTGGCCACCTTAGGAATTTCTCGCTTTGCACCTCATACAAGGTCTGCAATATCATTGTAGTGAGAGAAGGGAGTTGCTGTGTTGCATATCTCGGCTGTAACTTTGAATGCGGCGGACCTAGGCGATCTCTGACGTCTCCCCTTCTTTTAGGGGAGTGATCTCTGTCTCTTCTTGGAGACCTATCTCGTCCTCTTTCTTTTCTAGGACTTTGGTCCCACTTTTTCTCTTCTTTCCCTTTGTTTTTTTGTGTGGATGAGCTCCCTACTTTTGAGAGAAGAGCTTCCTCGCCATTTATGTACTTCTTTGCCTTGGCCATGCTCAACTGGGGGTTCTTCAAAATAGAGAACATCAGGTCCTTAGATTGCACACCTAAACCAGCTATGAATGCAGTAATGGCAAACTTCTCATCTAGAACATCCACTTTCGAAGACTCCGAATTGAACCTCTAGACGTAAGATCTGAGGTTTTCTTGGGGTCCCTGCTTCACATTCAATAGGTGATAGCTCAGCTTCCTATACGTCTGAGCTCCTATGAAGTGAGATACAAAGGATATGACAAGCTCCTTAAAGGAGGAGATCGAGGCTGGGAGGAGCCTATTAAACCATGCCAGGGCTGAGCCCTTTAACGTGATGGCAAAGGCTTTGTAGCGCACTGGGTCCTAGTATCCATGCAACACCATCTGGTTCTTGTTGGTATTGAGGTGGTCCACAGGGTCTTTCGTCCCATCAAATACCTCTATTTGCGGCATTCTGAACTTTGGAGGGAGGGGGAAATACAGCACGCCCGTGGTGAATGGGGACTCAGTCTATTATACCAGGGCATCCATTGTAACTGGGGCCTTGCTCTTCATAGCTTCCTTCATATGGCTGAGTTCCTACTAGATGTCCCTGAAGCGCTGCTCCCAGTATTGTTCTCTCCTCTCCTACTGAAAAGGGCAAAAATCATTCATCTTGCCCCCATCGTTTTGACATTGCACTTCTTCATTGTGTCCATCCCTATGGGGTAGATGGGGAACTTGTGCCTGGGTCTGGCTATTTTCCCCTCCTTCGTTGACTTCTTTGAGGGAATCGAGGTATTGTTGTTCCCTAAGTGGGGGGTTATTCTGGCCTTCTTGGGCCTATCGTGCCTTCTGACGTTGCAGGAGCTTCAAAAGCTCCTCGTTTTACTGTAGCAGACGTTGATTAACTAAACAAAGAGCCTCCAACTCATTATTTGTAGGGGGATTCCCCATAGGAGGATTTACCTTTGTGGTAGGTTTGTTTGGCTTCTGCTCTTATTGGGAGTTGAGACCATCAGTTACTGAAAGATCAGCGTACTTGTTATAGGAACAGTCGTTCTCACAGATGACACCAAACTGATGGTGTAAATTAATGTGGATGAGCAAAAGGTTGAAATTAGGCTCAGCAATTTAGGTCTGGGCTTTTAGACTAGTGTGAATCGTGATAAGGAATTTCAGGGTTTAGGTGGATTTATACAACGAGAATATAGTGGTTCACCAGTTTGGGGGCTCGGCTAGTCCACTCTTCAATGGAGATTCTTACACCTTTTGTTTTAGTAATGGGGGATGCAATTTACGGTCCGCCTCTCATACAACTAGGGTTCTCTCTTTCCTTTTGGGAGGCATTATACAGGATTTATAGAACAGTTCCTAGTTCTGTGGGATTTGCACCGAGATCCTTGCCATTTATCTAAGGGATCCTCCTTGATTTTAGGAGAAGATCTTGGCTGTTTGGGGTTTTGTGCCTTGAATACGATTCTTTGCCACCTGTAGGGATTCTGCTAATATTCAGCTGTTCTATCATCTTCTCTGCTATTGCCTCGCCTGGGGGGAGTTCTATCTCTGATCCTCTGAGCCTTGCGTAACTTGTCTGACCTCCTTGTCCGACCTCTTTGTCTGAGCTCATACTTAGAAATTTTTTTGGGTATCATCAACATACATTAATCTGAAGTGATTCTTCATAGGATTGGTTACAAGGTTTAGCATGATACATGCTAAAATTTTCAGGCTCCTTTTGACAAAGTATTTCTAAAACAAGCACAACTTTTCTATCACCCTATCCATATGAATCTCAATACCAAGTATCTTTCTAGCAGCACCCAAATATTTCATGTCAAACCTCATCCTTGACAATGATTTCAACCTATCAACATCATTCATACTCTTTGCAAAAATAAACATATCATGAA